GGTGGCCCAGCGAACGGGCGAACCTCTGGAGTGGCCGAAGTCGATGTCGCAGTGCCCTGGGCCCGCATCGCCGCCAACTCCGTCTGGACCGTCGCGAGCAAGCCCGTGAGCCCCACGAGCGCCTGTCCCAGCTCCAGCTGCCCAGCCTGCAGCGCCGCGAGCGCGGCGATCGGCGGGGCCGTGTCGGGCGGGGTGCCTGGCATCGCTGGCGGTGTGCTAGGCACCCCGCCCATGGGTACGTCTCCGTCGGCTGCCTCTTGAGCAGCGGCAGGAGGCGGGCGCATGGCCTCCAGCTGTTCCAGCAGCGTCCTGGCCCTCTCCACGGCGGCCGACCTCTGCTGGACCTTGGCGTCCGCGTCCTCCAGGGCGGCACGAGCTGCGGCGGCGGCATCCTGAGCTTTCTCCAGCTTCTGCTGCGCTCTCTGGACATATGACCGTTGCTTGTCACATCTCACGCCAGAGGGCCGAGCGATGATGATCATACAGAGCTGCACGGCATACTCCTCTTCCTGAGGGCGCATCTGCTCGGCCGACATGCCTAAGTCCTTTGCAGCCTGGAGGCGTTTGCCTGTGGCGGCGGCCATCTGGCGCAGCGAGCGGCGGTGAGCCCCCAGCTCACGCTCCTCACGCGGCGGCTCGACCCAGGCGGGGTGAGCCTTGGCGGCCTCTGGCAGCGCGGGCAAAATGCCCAATGCCGGGCTGCGCAGCTCATCGTCGCCGCCGTCCGAGGAGTGGCCGCCCTCGTTGGCCTCGCCGTTGTCGTCCTCGTCCTGCGCAAAGCGCACACGGGAGGCCGACCTGGTCTGGCTGGATCGCCTGCGTCGGCGCGAGCCAGAGGCGCGGCGGTGGCGGTCGCGAGGCTGGCTGCGTCGATCGCGGGCCTCGCTGCCGCGGTCCGCCGCGCCGTGCTGCGGCCCGCAGGCTGGCAAGGGCATGCACGCGCGGCAGAGCAGGTCCGTCGGGCCATTGAGGCCTCCGCAGGTCGGGCACCACCATCCTGGCGGCGGCGGCGGCACAGCCCATGGCGGGGTGGTGCCGCTCTGCCCGCTGTGGCCGCTGCCCTTGCCACCGCCCTTGCGGCCCAGGCCACTGCCCTTGCCGCCATAGCCTCCAGCACGGCCAGACATGATCCCACTGCTGTGGTGCGCGCGCAGCCTCGCCACTGCGGCGGCGACGCGCAGCAGGGTGCGCGACTGCGTGCGCCGCTCGCGAGCGCGCCTGTGCCAGGCGGGCTCGCGCAGGCGCAACCGGCGCCTCGCCCTGCGCACTGCGGGCGCCCGCGCCGTCGTGCGCCCGCCCACGCTGGGGGCGGCGCACGCCACAGCACAGCAGCACGGCCGGCCCGCACGCCACCAGCGAGGGCGGCGCGGGCGAGCGCGTATGGCCGCCGAGTCCCGCGAGGCTTCGCAGGTATCCTGGATACCTGCACCCAAAAGCCTCGGGCCGGGACGGCAGCTAGGAGGAGGAGGAGGAGGAGGGAGGAGGAGGAGGAGGAGGAGGAGGAGGAGGAGGAGGAGGAGGAGGGTGAGACGGAGGAGGAAGAGGAGGAAGAAAAGGAGTCATTCGCCAAGCATATCCATATTAGTGCAACATACAAGGCATTCTTTGCACACCCGCCTCAGCCTCGCCTGGCAACGGCTAAGCCGCGCCAGGGTCATCGAGACACAGTTGACTGCGTAACTTCCTTTGGTTTTCTTTCTGGTCTAGGACTGAGTATGCCCACTCTCTCGGGCACCCCAGGTCCAGTCCGTCTCCAGCGTTTCGGCGTGTGGTTGGCTATCCTCTTCGGGACCTGCCACAACCAACCACACGGGGCAGGCCGACGCTGTCACGAACGACACCTCTGTTTCCGACTGTGCGAAAACATCACGTGTACCTCTTCAATGCAAAGATACACTGTGTCTGGCTGTGTTCTGGGACTCCTTCGTGAACACCAAAATTGCCAGGAAATGTCAAGCCAGGCTCTGAGAACCTGCTGAGTTGGCCTTCAAAGAACGGAAGAAACAACTGCCCCCTTTTTCCGTGACACCGCCGGCAACCGCGGCTAAACCGGGTGCCTGCCTCCTTTTCCTTGAGCGGACTCCAACCACGGGCCAGGGGTGTGAGCCACCTGGTCCCTGCGTCAGGCGCTCGTGGACAATCAGAACGCACCTGCGAAGCCCCCTTTTTGGTAAAGAGCCACCATTGCTACCTCTCTGACTGTTGGGAAAGAGGCCACACCACCGAAGACGAGCTCCTGGAGAGACCTTCGGCTGATAACCAGTCATTCGCCAAGCATGTCCAAATCGTGGGGGGTAGGGGTCGGGTTCGCATGTGGCCCCCTAGGTGCACGCGCCTCCCCGGCGAAGGACGGGGGGGCGCCCACGCCAGCGCATGGGCCCCGGAGCGGGCATGGCCAGGAGCAGTGGCCCGTCGCCCTGTCGGCTGGGTGGTCGCCCACCCGCCAGCCCAAGGGCTCCCCACTTCGCGCTTCGCGCTGCGCGAAGCGCGAATAACTTCGCGCTTTCGCGCCGCCGCCCCAAAGGGAGAACAAGGGGACGGGGAGGAGGGGGAGAGGGAACGAGGACCGCGAAGCGCGAAAAACTTCGCGCCCTCGAGGGCGCCCCTGCAGCCAGGGTCCTGAACGTCGCCCAGCGCCACCTCGGGCGAGCGCTGCTCAGTACACGGGTGAGCATCTCCCAGCGCTCGGCCAGTAGTGCAAAAGTTCAATACGTGGGCCCCACGCGCCGACCCGCTCTGTGAGGGTGGCGGTGAAGGGCGAGGCGAATGCAGCCTTGCGCAGAGAGGCTGCAAAGGCACGCTGGAAATGGTGGCGGCGCGGCGGATTAGCTTCCATAGCCGAACCCTTGTCCGCCAGCGCTGCGCGGTGAGCTTCTTGCATCGTGGCTGCGCTGCGCGCTTCTGGGCATAGCGGGGTGCGCTGCGCGTCTCGCAGCTGGGCATAGAACTGCACAATGGCGCGCGGTCGCTCCCAGAAGCTGGCAGACCACAGTCCGTCCAACCAGCGATGGAAAGAGTGCACTGTACTCTCCTCCCATGCCGTGCCGCGGAGGTGAGTGTAGTGGGGTTCCCATAGCTCTGCCAAGGTGTGAGACGCAGAACGGGTGGCAGCTGCGACAGACACGACCTGCACCGAGCCAATCACTGGTGGCGGCGACCAATCCGCCATCGCGATAGGTCTACAAGTTCCAGCTGCAGTTGATAGAACACAAATTGTTATAGCGCTGAGAACCTCACCAGACATGCCTCCCACCCCCGTTGCGCAGTTCATGACACAAAACACGCACGGATCATCACGTTTCCAAATGCCAGGTTTTATGTCTGGGTGCCAAGTGTAATTTGAACACCGCATTATACACAACAGCCTACCACACACCACCCAGTACTACACTGCATCCATCTCCTACACGTCTCCCAGTACTCGACAGCACCCTCCCCAAAAATCCCATCAGCCCTTTAGGGCGTTGGTGGTTTAGGACAATTCCTCTTCCAATATCCTTCTTCCTTTTCGGCGAGACAGAGGTTCATCACTGTTCCTTCTTGATGTACATCCCCTCCCCCACCCGACCAGCGACAAACCCAGGCAAACGAGCCCCCCCCCCGTCATCCATGTCAAAAACAATGCAAAGTGCACTTTGCAGCAAAATCTTGGGACAAAGACGGCCGGGGTGCTGGCATATTGCCTGCTGTGCGCAGACCCACCAGACATCATGATTCATGATGGTCACTCCGCCGCGATTTTGCATTGGGTTTCTATAACGATGGTGGGGGCCGACATGTTTCCCGATGTGCGCGGGCACCCCTCACTCTGCGCGTGCCTCGACGGTGGCGCAAGTGGTGCGGCTGGAGCATGCGGCGCACGTAGCGCACGTGGAGCACATGGCGCATCTGGCGCACCAGGCGTGCTTGGCACGCTTGTGCCCCAGGGGCGCCTGGCGCGCCTGGTGCGCGTGGCACTCCTGACGCACTTCACCCTAGCGTCGCGCACCTAGGGTCTGTACTGGTTCCCAGTAGCTGTCCATCCGAAAAGACCGCTGAATGTGCTGAGACTCGGGTACTACTTCTGAGTTGGGAGGGCGGGTGGGAGTGAGTTAGACAGTTTGCGTCTGGGAGAAGTGTCTTGATCGTGGCCCCTACGCCCTCTCCCTGAGTCTGGACGGGGAGGGGATCGCGGGTCGTCGTTCGAGCGTCCAAGAAGGCCTTAGTGAGAAGGCAAACGTCATTGATGTTCCATAGGTGTTGGGCCAAGTCTGGCCTCCTGGGGAGGCAAGGCTGTTAGGCCCCCAACCATCTTTGATCGATGGCCTTCCAGATGACCTCAAGACGCCCCCGCGAAGCACCCAAGACGCTCCAAGAAGACCCCTAAGAACCGGCAAGAGGCTCCAAAGACGCCCCAAGAGGGTCCCAAGAGGCGATGCTAGAGGCTCTTGAGGGGGCAACGCTAAGGTAGTTCCAAATATTGTAGCATCTCGGGGGCATGATTTGTTTTTCTGCTGCACATTCGAAACATAATGATTGAAACATCGTTGGGCGGCCGAACTCGTGAGCGTTCCATATACCAACTAACTTTACACAGCACACACCACTCGTCGCACACGATTGCGAAGTCCGGCCCACAAGGAACTCCTCTTCGAATTTCCAAGAAGGATGGGGGTCCATGGACAGACATCCTGCAACTGAGAAGCATACTTGCAATTCAAATGCGGATGCGAACGTTCCTTCGGTATGCGACCTGCCACGGGAATACATTTACGGATGCGGCTGACAGTGCGAACCACCCTATGTTAAGGCGAGTAAGTATAGCCCGTGTTAACGGCACATGGAACAAGGGGGCCGAGGAACAAAAGGATAAGGATGAGGATCAGGAGACGTATGATGAGCATGAGCAGGAGAAGCAGCATCGACGACATTCGGTGGGTAGTAGGGGGGAGGAAGGCGGACGAGGGGAACACATCAACGATTAGAAGAAAGGGGAGAGGACGACGACGAGGCTGAATCACCGCAAATAGGTCCACTTGATGCCCGTGTCGGAGCCGCCCGGGTACACCGAGCGGTGATCGTTCCTTCGGGCTGGTCCAGAGGTCGGGGTCAGCAAAGCATGGGCTGGGGAGGGCTGTTTGTGTAGAATCAGGAGGAGGAGAAGGAGGAAGAGGAGACTGAGGAGGCCGTCGAGCAAGAGGACACTCTCTCCTTCCTGCTCTCTCACTTCCTGCAACGTCAGCCGCGAGCTCAACCCCACACAGAAAACCAAGGCTCGACTGGAGGCCGCCCGAAAGAGCAGGAGAGCAGGCAGCAACGACATACGACCTCTTAATTCCTCCTCCTCCTTCTCCTCTTCCCTCCTCCTCCTCCTCCTCCTCCTCCTCTTCCTCATCCTTCCGCTCCTGCTCCTGCTCCTGCTCCTCCTCCTCCTCGTATAAATAACTTCTCCCTGTCGCACCCCCAGGCCAGTGTTTAAGGCGGGCCGGGCGTTTCGCCTGAGACTTCCTCACCCTTTATGACCCTGAAGCTTTACAAGTGGCAACAGTTTCACAGATGGAGGGCGGGTGGTTTTCAAATCACTCCTTTTTATTCTTATCTAACCCATCCGCCCAGAGAGACCAGCGAAGATAATTGAACTTCTGCACACTTACCGAGTGTAACCGAAAAACGGCGACGTGACTCGACTCGCCCCCCCAACACAAACCCACCCCAACAAAAAAAGGCGAGCACAACGCAAATCTTCAGTGAACCTCTTCGAACAAAAGCGACGACGACGCGCCAAAACACTTACAGGGACGCATGCGAACCCTGCCACAAAACGCCTTCGGTGAAACTCCCTGAATCTCCCTATGAAGCCACGCACCGTGTGAGGGGCGTGCCAAAACTGGACTTGGGACGCATGTGAGCCCTGCAATTGAGACTTTCGATGGAGCTCCCCATGATGCCACGAACCGTGTGATCTGTCTGTGTGTGTGCGCGTGCCAAAATTTGCCAGGGGACATATGTGAATCCTGACACTGGGGCCTTCGGTGACGCCCCCCATGAGGCCACATGAGGCCACGCGCCCCAAGGAGGCCCGCGAGCAAGCCGCGGTCCGCATCACGCGCCCCAAAGAACGCCGAGAAACCCTAGAAAAAAACGGCGACGAAAGATCCTGCGAAGACTCAATGCACTCCCCGAGAAAACGAGAAACGGCGACGCCCAACCTCGGGGGGCTGGCTACCCACTGGAGTCTCCGTTGGAGGGGGTGATGTTTTCAAAATGTGGCTCTCGCCTTGCCGCCGCGCACATTCGGTTTAAAACTTTGCAGGAGCTTGACGGATTGAGGGCGGGTGGTTTTTAAAATGTGGCTCTCGCCTCAGCGCCGCGCAGATTTGTTTTTGTTGGGGGGATTGAGGGCGGGGGGTTTTCAAGATGTGGCTCTCGCCTTAGCGCCGCGCAGATTCGTTTTTTTGTTGGATTGAGGGCGGGCCGTTCTCAAAATGTGGCTCTCGCCTGAGCGCCGCGCAGATTTCACTTTGAACATTGCAAGAGCTTCACGGATTGAGGGCGCGTCGCTTTCAAAATGTGGCTCTGGCCTCAGCGCCGCGCACACTCGTTCCAACAATGTGGAGGCTCGGCTTCCCATGATCAACACACCAGAAGTGGTGTTTTGGAAAGATTCATGATTATACTGCTGCTGATGATGATGATGATGGTGGTGATGTTGATGATGGTGATGATGATGATGATGATGATGATGATGAGGAGGAGGAGGAGGAGGAGGAGCGGAGGAGGAGGCGGAGGAGCTCCTCTTCCAGGCCTCCATGTTACCGCCCAGCACCGTCGCGGGTATGCCCTTGTACATCGCCAGCAGGTAGCACAAGGAGTTCCTCGCCTCATCGATGCGGAGAGCCAGCCGGGGGTCGGCCTCGCCGCCGAGCTGCTGC